ATTTTCAAAGGAAACTTACATACTAGTGATCGATCGGTCGCAAAATGTGTTGTCGAAAACTCACGCGTACAACATACATCACGCGAATACCATTCCTATGTTTATTCAGAGAAAGTCTGAGCAGCAGCTCGCGAATATAGCGCACGCCGTGTATGAAGGCATGACAGTTGACGTTTCTCTGTCTCTCTCTCTCTTTCTCTCTCTCTCTCTCTCTCTCTCTGGCTGCGCCACAGATGCAAGTTGATTTATGCTCGAGCGCGATGCGTCGAAGGATGCTCGTTTTTACAATCGAGAACACGTATAAAGATGTCAAGTTCGGAGATTCCTTCTTGCTGGTATTTTCTTTCCACGATAAATTAGACATTTGCAGCACGCCTCGGTCGATTAATAACCGTAACCGGCTTATTGTGATTAAGCGCAAGGTGACGAGACGCAACTCTACTTTATATTTTCGGTGGAGGTGTAGCAGCAGCAGCAGCAGCAACAGCTGCCACTGTGCCATTGCGAGTGCGCGTCGAAAAGTGTTACGTCCAAATAATGACGCAAGATCGTCTTTCCGTATCGAGGAAAAAAGGCGTTCTCGTTCTGCTCGCGCGCGCACAAACGTAGCTTTGATCTGCGGCTGTTTTACCGACGAGACGCTTTAATTGCCTGCTCGCGCCTATTCGCAAAGGCATGGCTTGGAATGACAATTAGTACGTGTCGGAAGAATTTTCTTCGTGGGAAATCAGATGGAGCTGCTGGGCTTTTGTCTGCAATAAAATACGTTACCCGAGTTTTCGATAAAGTTTATTTCATTTTCGATTTTTCAAGTCGATTCCAAATGGTATGCTTCATGACACTTTTTTTGTAATAAAATTTTCCATTTCACCACGAGAAAATCCAAATTTCACACAACTTTGAAATAATACTGCCGGATTTGTCAAATTATTCGTTCGGCTAATTATATAAGTTCACGTCGCAACGAAAAATACCTTTATCTCACATCCCTAATTATAAAAGTACGCATCGACGAGATCACTCGAGTTCGTGACCGATAGCGAATAAAGTAAGCAGAGTTTTGACTGACACGCCGCTCGTTGAAGTCGCGAAAGCCTGCTCGCCGAGTGGCAAATTCGTATACGGCTACGAGCGAGAAAATATTTTGACTGGCCACGTCTGCTCCTGCGAAGGAGTCAAATAACAATTGGAACATTTGCCAAAGTCGACGAAAATTGGCTTTCAAAACGATTTGGGCATGGCGACAACTGGAAATCAGCGCGAGGGCGTGAATACGCTGTACTCTTTTAAGCCACGTCTGTCTTTTTGTCCACAAAACGTGCGACGAATTTCATCGGCGCTCATAAAAACAATAAATTTGAATCACCGTTTGCCGAACGATTAAGCCTGCGCAGCTGCGCAAACGATCGTCCAGTAGCGACATGTTACAACCTACTTCGAGAGATCGACAAACTGAAAAAGAAAAAAGCTTCGCGTTTAGCTACCGACGAAATTGTGTGTGCGACCCTGACGACTTAATTATTCCGAAGCTTAAGCGAACCAATTGTTACGGACATGTATTCCATTACCTCAGTTTGCAATTAACTCCAAATGGATTTGTATAGGCAACATTACAAGCATCGACTTACGCGTCGCAGACTTGGTTTCGTTACATAATCGCGTTTGGCTTTTTCTTCTAGGAGTTCTCTTTCTATTTCTGTCACAGTTAAATTGGAATAGCCAGCGAATTTGAGGAATTGCACATCAATCGAATTGGACGATAAGAAAAAATATTTGTCTTCCAAGATTGACTAAGATGTTAAGAGTATCTTAATTGGAAGCTAAGTTAAATAGCGTTTCCAGTGATTGACAAATTGAACGGATGGTAAACAATTTCACGATTTTTTTTTCAATTGTACACGCAATAATGAAACAGTTGGCATATTGATTTCTTATATTCCTCCACAGTCAATTGATTCAAGTACTTGTTTCACTGGCGTAATTAATCGTAACTAATCGAACAAACGAAGATAATTCTTCGTTAAAAGAATATTCGTTGCCGTGAAAGAAAAAATGACATCGAACATGCATCAATCTCAAAATCCACTTCCGTCGGAAAAAATCCACGGCTGAGCTTCCTCCCCGCGTCGACAAGAACGAGAGAATGAAGATGCAAGCACGCGCATCGCAACGTCATGAAATGCGCACGCACGACGATCGAGTTACCTGCGGAGCGCCCACGTGGCGGCGACGATGCTGCGTACGCTCGTGCATTCGATTCCAGTTCACCTTGGTGAGGGGCGAAGCCGGCCGGCTGTACAATGGACAAACGACTGCCGGCGCTAATCTTGATTACATTAGAAGACAGAGCTTCGCGATCGCGGAGTTGAAGATCAACTGTATGGAACATTTTTTTGCGTTTGAAGAGTTGAGATGAAATGGCTTTTGACATTCTTGCAAACGGTCGCAGTATATTTTGCGACGAAAGATTTTCATTGGATTTATAAACAAAGAATATGAAAAAAAAAAGAAAAAGAAAAGAATTCAATTTAAAACTATCGCGAAAAAATGACTGATCGTAAAATTGAAAGAAAAAAATTAATTAAGTTAATCTGTTCGTTTTTCTATTCTTTTACGAGCTACATTTCGTTTTACGATCGATTTTTCGCGCCCGATCGCGTCGAATCAATTTATAAATATTACCCGGTTCACTGACTCGCCGTCAAACCAGAAACACAACAACCTCGATATCTTCCTGAAGGCCGCAACAATCGGCAATCAACACGAGATTGCGCAAGTTCATCTCCTCAATGAAACTTTAATAAAAGCATCGTGCCCGTTATCAAAAAGTGCATCGGATATTTGTTTACATTATCAGCTGCGCCCCTAAGAGACTCACGTGGGCGGAATCCTCATCAGAGCCTAAAAATAGCGCGCTCTTTGCATCGCGTGTTTGGCGTCGGATTTTTCATTCGCGTCGTCGTGCAGAAAAGTCCACGGAGGCGACGGCGCTTTTCAAGTGGTAATTTTGCCATGTTGGCTCGACGCAAACAATTTCTCGTTGGTACACTGAATTAACAAGCCACTGTCGAGTTTGCCGACGTGCTGTAGGAAGCTACTTTTTTTTTTCTACGGATATCTGAATATTGTTCTTATTAGTGTTGCGAGATTTCATAGGATTTTTAGCAAGGCTACATCGAATCGAGAAAAACTGAGAAGCGTTTTCCAGTTTGTCGAATTTACTGAAAAATGATCGCTCAACGGTAGTTTTGTATGCAAATTAAAACCTTTAAATTCTTGTTCGATTGTCATGCCGACTAACTTGCTATATTTACATACGTCGAATCAACGCAAACCATATAACTTTCAAATTGTTATGACGCAGACACCTACATCCCCACACACGCGCCATTTAATCGACATTGCCATCGCATAGGACCAGTGACGTTATCGTCATCGCGTATCTCCATAAAGTATGAATCAACTCTAACAGCGACAGAGTTTATCCGTGACCCATTGCTAGGCACGCCAAACGCGGAGAACAGCAAAAAATTTTTGGCGAACATACGCGCGACTTCTGGAAAAACCGTGTGTATAAGCAAGGCGCGTAATCACGTGGCGGAAGCCTTGAAAATGCCTTTTTTCCTCTCGTCCTTAGCCTGATTGTAAATTAAAACGGCGACGATTGCATTTCTCATGAGTAAAATACGGATTTAACTTTGCATTAGTTAGAGAGCGTCATCGGAATTTCGTGTAATTTCAGATAAGATTTACCAATACACAATTTTTTTTTCTTCAGACTCATTAGCCAATTTCGGAAGACCCGTTCACGTAACAAGGTTTAGCATGAAATAAAGTTGCGTGCCTGTAAATCATGAGAAAATTACCGATAAATCACGAATATCATGCGTCTCGCGTTATAAATTGTCGCACGGTACGGAATTTGTAAAGTTACTCACGAACTATCGCATCGATAAAGATCTTCTCTCGCACCCGAGGCGCTTGAAAAATCAACTCTTTCTGTTGATTGAGTCGCTCGCTCGAGACAGTTCCACATGCCGTGAATCCGAAACACGTACGTCGTGGGTGGCCGGTGTTTTTTTCCTTTCTCTTTTTACAAAATTGGGAGTTTCTCGCGTTGGGTATCGTACATATCGCCTGCCCACCGATTGAAAAACTACGGGCATTCGCGCTCGCTTGCCGTCTGAGAGTTTACCGGTGCTGGGGATCATTAACGGAAGTAACAACGGACACGTATCTATATTATTGATTTACGCGTATTTTCTTTCTACTGGAGCCATCGATGAAAAGCAATTGCCGTAATCGAGTTACTCGTTGCCGGCACGTCTCAATTTGCTGCCCAAGATAAAGATATGACAGACTCTTAAGAATAATCGACAGATTAAGGAAAAATTAACGCCAATGTAATCAATTAAAATCTAATCAACGAGGAGCGCTATAAAAGCGAGTATAATGAAAAGTTTTACGATGTATCGACCACTACCGTATAGAAGCATGAAAGTGAAGTCAAACGATTTTTCAAGTTCGACCACTCGCTCGCTCAAGTAAACTGTAAATCGCAGCGAGTGTTTTCACCTTTGCGCGAGCGCAATTTCATGCTTTATCGCCATATGGGAATTGCCAGAGATAAGCTTGCGTATTAGCGTTCGACGTTTCGACTTCTGCAATTTGATATATTATTTATGGTACCTTTACAGAAATCACTTTTTGGCATTGTTTCACATCGTCTTTCATTTGCAATTTCTGGCGGAATTTGCGCCGGTTTATTCCTCGTTCTCACGCCGAGAAGGAAATGATTTTCCGCAAAAACAAATAATTTGCAGGCGTTACAATGTTCAATCATAATCACGCGATCATATTATCACGTGAAAATCAAACTTCGCCAAACAACTTTGCTCTAACGGTTCGGCAAAACTTGGAGCTCGCACGAGAGTAGATACACCAACCAAACTACCCACGATCCTACCATTATTCAAACGGCAAACAATCGATAAACTCACCTTGTACGGTTTGAGGATGTCATAATGCCCCTCGTGTGTTTTCGGCTCGAAATTCGACGACGTAGAGTTTTGCCGCCTGAAAAAAGAAGAGTTGTGCACACAAGATAGCGAAATCCACTGACTTGGCGTTTTTTATTGTACTTTTCGTGCAACTCGCAATTACACCGTAAAACAAGAAAAGAGATAAGCCGTTGCGCAACTCACGTCAGCTGATCGGAGCCGTTAGCCGTGGGTTTCGGCGACTGTACTCCCGATCTTGCGCCCGGTGTCGTCGAGTGAACTGGCGATTGTCCTTTACTCAGTGGTTGCTTTATGCTGAAATTGAAACAAAGGGCAGACGACTATGTGAGTTTGGCTTGTAAAACATGTGAAAATGCGAATTTACAACGAGTTTCGTTGCGACGATTGTTTTTTCAGGATTAATTTTGTTAACTCGAGGCGTTACCTCGTCGGGGATAAATAGAGAAGCTTTGTTCGATCAACATTTGATTGTTACTTATCATTTTGATGATTGCGCTCAAATTGAACGTTATCATAAAATACTCACACCTATAATTATATCTTATTAAATGAAGAAAACAAAACGCATGCGATTTTTTTTTAAGAAAATGGTTGGCTAAGGAAAGGTGATTACAATTGATTGTATTTAAAACGACAGACTAATCTGAGTCGATGAGCCACGATTTTCAATGTACGTTTCAAATATATGGTGCAGTCATCTCGAGCACAAACAGTCGCTGTTGAATCTAATCTATTCCATTATAAAACGCGCGGGCCAATGAATAAGACGTAACTTTCGATCTTCGCCACTGAGTCTGCGACGTTAATTGAAAGTATCCCTGTCCCGCTTTGATCACATCAATTAATTAATACGCATTAGCCTGTCTGATTCGCCAATGAATCTAATTGATGCACTCGACGAGCGAACTGCAATGTCACGTACATACACACATATACACACACACACACACACAAAGATCAAAGCCACTGAAACTTCTTTTAAAAAAAGAAAAAGCAATTGGTATTGTTTACCGGTTCGCGCACGGCGGCGTGGTACTCCCAACACTACGATAACTGGTACGATGCTGATGGCCATTGGCCTGATAATGCTGCTGACTGGCCGATCGCGGAGGGTTGACAGACACGCTGACACGCTCGGCAATACGAAACCGCGGCACTGTTGGCTTGTGATACATCATCTTCGCTCATCGCAGCGCAATTAGAAGCATCATTGATACGACGGTAAATAAACGAACGAATATGTACGGAGGGAGATGACGATGCCTTGAGCGCGCGGCGTTCGGTCGACGACTAAAGCGCGTTCTCTCTAACGTTCCTTCTCTCTCTCTCTCTCTCTCTCTCTCTCTCTCTCTTACTCTGTCGGTTGCATGCTCACGTTGCTGCTGCTGCTGCGCACTCGCGTGCAATGTGCTACCATTATGCTACCCAGGCAAGCGAAGGCTCGTAGTAGGGGTTTCGGTTCTGGGTGCGACCTCAACAATGTGACCGTGTGCTCGAACGAGCGATGTTGGTTGCTTCTTCACCTTTTTGTTATTTTTTTTTTGTATGACGACGTGACGATCGTTTGGTCGATAACGAATGGATTTCGCTTTGTTTTCCTCTCACGGCAAGCAGAGGTCGAGATGTCGAGCTCTGGTTTGCCAATCAAACGAATCGTCGGAAGAGTAAAGAGCTTGTCGACGAACTCGAGGCGTCGACGAGCAGCGTCCTCACCCGTCATTATTTCTCTCGATCGCGATATATATACACGCGCGTTCCGCAACGGTGACTCCCTCGTATACAACCATTGGGCTAAGTTCATCGAGGCGCGCTGTGCCATTACGTAGGATCGCTCGCATAACGCGACGCCGGATCGTTCGAGTACTATTCGATAAAGTGCGCTACGTGAAAATTCCTGCGAGTAGTGCAAACAACGACGCCTCGTGCGAGGACGTAACAAGAGAGAAAAGGGGGGAAAAAATATACGTACATAGGAAGAGACAAGCGAGAGGCGTCTCGCAGCTGTCGCGTGTGAGAGCGTTGCGGCGAGCCCCGTTATACCTTTTCTACGCCGAGCGCGAAACTATAAGCTTTGCAGACTTGCGCACGATAATTTTCTGGTCATCTCTCTCTCTCTCTCTCTCTTTCTCTCTCGGCTCGGAGCGCGGAGAGTACGATTGCTTCGAGGTAACTCGTAGTTTCCTTCCTGTCGCGGTACGTGTATATACGCGTGGGAATGATTTTTTTTTTTCTGAGAGGAACTTCCGACGAAATTGATCGATAATTGTAAAAAGGAATGACGGCTCTCCTCTTGCGTTTTCTCAGCAACGAGCGCGTGTGAGAAGAGTCGTTGAAAGCCCGCGCGCGCGGCACGAAAAGACGCGCGCATTCTAACGAGAGAGTCAAGGCCCTTTAAAGCTTCGCCTGCAGAAGAGAAAAAGAGTGAGAGAATGAGAGAGAGAGAGAGAAAGAGAGAGAGAGAGAAAGAGAGAGAGAGAGAGAGCGGTGTATAATCGAAAATAACTCCCGGACACAGCTTCCGCCGTATATATACTTTTTCTCCTCGGTTATCTTGGAATTCGTCGACTGAAGAGAATTCGTCTTTTGTGAGCAGGCTTGGCATTACATATTCCTCATTTCTTTTGTTTCGGAGGTGAACGGCATTATTGTTTTTTATGTGACACTGATTAGACTCTGTAACAAAGCGCTGGTGTTATGCACATCGTAGTATTAAGACGTCTAATGTAATTCTTCAAACTAGAACTCCTTAGCAAAATGAAACGTCGATGTGATGAGCGGTATGTTTTCATGTAAATCAAAACAGTCTAACGCAACAATGAAACCCATCAAAGGCAATGAACGCCACGTGGAAATAAAATTTCACTTGCTCACCAACCATTAAATTACCAACAATCGCGTTTAAGAAACATCCAAAGAAAAAAAGTTCCCGATCAATGAATACTGCTGAATTAATGCGTCGTAATGAGCCGCCGACGGGCATTCCAGGTGTACATAGAGAAAGCTTACGAGCTCGTCAGCACGAAAAGAAAATGTAACGAGAGAAATGCTTTAACAAAGCGATATGGTAATCGTTTCGCCCTTCTCTCAGCGCAACTGCATGCACGCCCGAGAGTCCAACGAACTCGCAGCACGTGAGATTTCGCAATTTCATCGTTCTGGCTTCGAAACTTTTGAGCATTCGCGCGAGAATGCGCAAGAAAAATCTCGTCGTCGCGCGGCCTCACCATCCACCCACAGCCGCCTTCGTGGAATTATCGCGCGAGTAAGAGCACTGCGTTGATTTTATTTGCTTGGCGATTGTCGAGCAGACTTTGACGCTACTTATTTTAAAATACGAGGATTCCGTGTTGTCGAGGCTTAAATTAAAGTGAAAGGATCGTGTGGCTGTATCGCGATGAAAAAAAAAAAAAATGGAATTTTCAATCGGCCACGGTGAATCATGCCTCTGAAATCGACACACGAGATAAGAAAGTTACGTTTCCACGATCGCAATTCCCACTCAGCGCCGACCCAATTTACAAAAAAGTTTTATTCTCGCTGATAGAGGTAATGGAAAAGGGTAACTCCGCGAGCGACGCGTAATGGGCGAATCCGTGAAGCGCAATAATATTACAGCGAGGAGTAAAACCGGAACGGCATTGAAAGTAAACGCGCCGTCGCGATGAAAAGCCGCCGCAGCGCGCGCAAATTTTTCCGCAGTTGTCCGCGCAGGATGGCAGGTGCATTGCGAACTGGACGATATCCGCCTACTCGTTGCGAGTAGCGTAATTAGCCTCAAGCGAGTATAAAAACGGTGATTGTTGCTTCCTTTCGATATTTATGCATTGGCGTTGGGTCGGGAAGATTTACTGTATGTGAAAACGCATTGTAGTCCACAAAAGGCGCAAATATAAAGACAGACAGGAAGACATTGTTTGAGCGTCTCGGGCAAACTGCCAAGAATCTTCCACTGCGCGACAGACCTGCTATTTCGCTTGGTGGCTCTCTGCGAAATGGTTTTGGTAGCACGAATCTAATTATGTAAAACCAATGAAAACAAGCGTCGATGATAAATCTCCCGAGTGATTACTGCTTTGGCGCAAATTACTCGATGTAAATAATTGTCAGATGGCATATGAATGGTATGTGAATGCCGCATACAGAGGGCAATTATCTAACTGAGAAATTCCGATGATTTTTTTTTATAGCATTATAATATGTTCAGATAGACTTACGAGCAACGTCATAAAACACGCACTGTCACTTACCATAACGCACTTGAAACAGTACTTCAAGCGTAACAGAGATCATCGACCGGTTTGCTCTCGCCGTGTACTCGCCAGTGTCAATAAGCGTAATAAATTGCGGATTGTCGAGGATTTATGCATGTGAGAGTCTGCATTAGAAGACGGATTACGAATGAATTTAACCTTGTTACTCAATTGGGGTTTTTCATTTTCCACTATTATTCTGAATTAGAATTTAATCATAACACTATTATATCTCTAATCCCGGTAATGCCGCAACAGGACATGACGAGCTTTATTAGCGCCGAAAATGACTTTGTTCTTCCTGTACTTTACTTCCGGTTTAGCGAGACAATGTCACCGATCGAATGTCAACGAAGCGAAAATCCTGTGCTTTTTACCTATGCGAAATACAAATTTTTGTCGTTTCACTAATTTGAAATAAAACAAAATTTTTTGCGTGTCTACAAGTTAATTTTTTAGTGTCTAATCGCATGAAGGAAAAACCACTATGAGAGTAAACAAAGCTGACTTAATAAAAGTTACAAAAAACTTTATCATAATTGTAAAAGGATAAAAATTTCAAATTAAGCTACCATAAAGAAGGTAAGAAATCGAACTATACGACTGTATATTATAAAAAGCCGTACGACATCTAATGTAACATACAGCACATGCGTTTAAAAATAAATGTTTTCATCTGTTTGACTGTTCCAGTACCCGAAAAACTATTTGCTTACACGTATATTAACATAAAGCTATTTCATTTTTATCGAGCCAACCCTTTCCTCCATATTTATCAACATTTTTATCATTCAAGTCAGTGATTTATGCATTCCAGCAAAAAAATTTCGTGTTTGACTCAAGCAAAAGACTCGCGTACTTGACATTTCGCCATGTGATAATTTTAGCCCATTCACCGAGACGTTTACGAGGCAGCTTCGTTCTGCACTGCGATAACGACGATTCCCACATTTAACCGCGTGCAACAACGTCGTACGTATATGTTTACTCAATTTTTTATAGCAGTAAATAATCGATTCAAAAAGAATCGTGACCTTGCGTGTGTTTCGTTCAACTTTTGATTGTATTAATACGCGGAGACTGTCACTGTCGTCACGCACGCAATACAAGTCTGCAAATACTGAGGGCTTTCACGCTCGACAATTAATGATTTAAAGTTCTTTTTTTATTATTAGTCTTAATTTGTTTGATTTAGTAAACTGAACGCTTTATCTGAATTAATTAAAGCAATAGAAGAAAATAATTTTTTAAGAAAATCAACGTTTAAATAAATTGAGAAGTCTGGACGCAAATAAGTGTATAGAACCAGTGCTTGATATTTCATGAAACTCACGCAATAAGTGCCCTATTTAACAAGCAAATAGATAATTTTCAAATAACTAAACAGCAAGCGACAGAGTCCTCTGGTGCGCAAGATGCTCTACTCAGCGCGCACTACCGCTGGTAACTAAAGCGCGCCTCGTACGACACTAAAGCCAGAGAAGGATAAACGAGGAATCACGAATGCATTTTCAGCCAGTTAATTAAAGTGCACATTTTGTTAAAATTTCAAAACGTCACCAATTTGCGCTCTTCATAAAATTAATCTACAGGCATCTTTCTTAAAAAAAAATCGCCACTGACCTTTCAGCTTGTAACATGTTGTTAATAGCTTGCGGGGTAATTGGTGGTGCAGGCATTTGTCTGATAAATTCATCCCTCTCCCGTTCTTTTTGTTGTAAAGTTTCTAGGAGTCGTTGTTTTTGACGCTGATACTCCTTGAATAAATCACCATTGAAGCTCTGTTCCAGTTGCTGTTGTGGTAGTGGTTGTTCACCGGATATCATAGGCCTTATTGGTGTCGATTCGGCCACTTTGCCTGCGACTATTCCTGTGGGTCTGTCGGCCAACGAGTCTCGTCGTGAACTTCGTGCCGTTGAGGGAGCTGGCGATTCTCGACCAGGATTGCGACGTTCTGGCGTTGAGGCTGCTGAAGGATCCGTTACTTTCGCCCCTATAGAGAGTTTAATGTTTTATTCTACCTACTATCCATACAAAGATTTATTTGAAAAATGTATAAATGAAAGTTCAAATATTTATTAGATTATTATGTTTCATATTTCTTAAAAGCGAGATTATGATTTAATTGGTTAAATGGTTTGTAGAATTCAATGTCTCAACTACGTAGATCCTTTCAAGCACAGACATTTATGAATTGTAGTAAAAAATTTTGTATGGTGCAGTCAATATAATATTCATAAGCGAAAATCAAACTGTTGTGTATGTCGAGTTGAAAATTGTTAAATAAGATTCATTTTTTAGCATGGTAATGAGAATTATATTTCATTACTATTCTCAAAATATTCTCGGAACGTCACGCATAATTAACTAAATGTTTCTGCTCAAAAGGGTTTACATTGTTAAGAAATTAATTCTGCAAACTGACTTTTTAACCAATCAAATTATTGCAAATGTACAGCAGTAAGACGTACGAATTGAAAGAGATTAAGATTTAACTTTTCAGTTTTAGCAGTTCATTGGTTTTAATAAACCAGATAGCTCAATTGTTTATAGAGTACTCGTTGCATTATAACACATTGAAAAGTAAAAATTACTTTGTGTATCTTCCTATTTCATCTACAAGCATCTTTCTTACATTTACTTAACTAAAAAGATAGAGCAATAACACTTAAAGTTACATTACTCATTTCACTCTTTACATAACTACCACAACGTTCAAGAAATTTAGTAAGTTCTCATAATTGATTTTTACCTGTAACAACTGTTATTTCGGTTTACAGCTAAAGACAAATGTAGACATTAAAATATAGATGGTAACGTCGGAAAAAATTCCCACAGAATCACCTTCAAGACAAATGACGCACAATCATCAAACTTTTCCCACAAACTATATTCAGAAAAACCTCGAGCAGTGAACTCGTCACTCTAATAACAAGCCTCGTCTTCGCATTTGCAATCCCTTTCTCTTTATTCGTGTTGCAAGCGCACATTTAAAAAGGAAACCAAGCCCACCTTCCGGACTCTTGGAGTGTCCCCTCGTTCGTGGCGGTGCCGTCGGCTGGGTTGTTGAATTGATCGCCTCTTGTATCGAGGGCAGCTGTTGGAATTCGGCGTAACTCGAACTTAGAAATACATCGCCCTCATTCTCAAACAACCTGTCGACGCAATGAAATATTTTTGTTTACAAAAATGCCGATACGTACTTTTTACGATTGTGACGAAATCGGATGAATGACTTATGTTGATGACAGTGAATTCGAAGAAATTATTCTAAATAAATGAATTGCAACATAGTTATGCCAGTAGACATTCATTTTGGTTCTAATTTGAAATATACCATTTTAAAAGTCATCATCATTAATTCTTTTCCGAGATCGTATCTTTTATCTTCAATGTACCTATCAACACTAGTATTCATCAGCTTATTATTTTTGAAGCCAGTGAGATGAAAGCTGGCAAACGAGCTTCTCGACATTAATGAATTAGCAATATCTCCAGTCGACAATGCCATCAACGCAGCCGAAGGAACACTCATATTTTTTAACTGCGGACTTCTCGGGCTGAATCCAGCTTCGAGTGCAGGTACGAGACTACGGGACATCATATCGGCAGCAGATCGTGGCCTTGAGAAAGGCATCGCATTGTGTGGGAAAGTCTTTGGCTTGATCGGCGTGATAAGCATATGTTCCGTCCAGGATGTCTCGAGCGATGGCCTCTCCAAGCGTTCAACGTCGACATTGAGGGTTCGTTGAGCGAACGGCACTGCGAATGTGTCCGACGGTATGGACTGCAGCCAAGAGAGTAGACTCAGATCCGAATCGCTGAATCCTACTGAACCGTCGAGCAGTCTTGAGAAACTCATTTCCACCTAAAAATTACGAAAAAACGTTACCTTTCTTTTACTCATGAACCGATTTGATGAACCGTGCGATGTACCTGTTCGCTCTCTTTGGATCCAGTAGCTTTAGCCTGGCAATAATTAACACAGCTCTCGTAAAGAATGCCCTTGATGATCAGCTGTATCAATCTGTCGTTTTTCGCCACGGTAACCGGATGATTTGGATCGCTGTTTTTTCTATCGCCAGGAAGAAATTTCTCCACCAAAGGATGTACCTCACGGAAGCATTGCACCCTCGCGTTACTTGGATTCCAGTCTTTGTACTGCAGGTGATCGGTGAGCCTCGGCAACGTGAGTAGAAGACATAGACTGCTGTATTCTTCCTTTGTCGGAGCATATTTTTCCAGGTCGCTCAGTACCTTAACTACTTCCTCCACGGCGTTGTCGACGCTGCCGTTTGTGCTCGTGCCAATGATGTTCGCCTCGGATTTGATGCATAAAAGCTCGACGTATTTGTGCCTGTAAAACATTGTTTCTTATTAGAAAACTTTCAAACGCATGGGTTTTCACTCGTACAGATTTCTTGTTTGTTTTTTTTTTTGTTGCCTCTAACCAGTTAACGCACATCACAATTCAATTACCATCAGTCACGCAGGCTTGGAATTAAATTTCACTCAAAGCATCAGCAAACATCGAGAAAACTACCTACATCGATTTTCACTTATCTCCTATCCCGCTCAATTATCATAAGCTGAAGCAGAACTGTCGGTATCCATTATACATTCAGAAATCCTCATGCGTACACCACCATCACTATGCAATAATTCCATACTCCGCACGTATGAACAATAAAATTACTATTCCAAGGATAAAAATACGCACCTTAGTATAGAATAAGTGAACCTTCGCATATCAAAGTCAGGCAGTGTCTCGAGTGGCTGGATAAACTCGAGCACATCGTCCCACTGGCCGTCGAGGATGAGTTGGCGTAAGAACAGCACATCGTCGCTGTACTGGCCATTGATGACACCGGTTTCTCGTTCCAACGACAGCTGCGAGATGTGCAGATCCCGGCCGTGAAGGAACTCCAGGGTCAGACGTACTACGTCTTCCTCGCGCAGCGTCAGCCGCGCCGCCGGCATCACGTACCTTATTCGCAAGCTGCGAAACAACGCATTGTTTGTCAATTTTGCACTTGTCTCGCCTTGCTACGACGGTCGGACATTTAATACGACGATGGTTTGCGCGCGCCGAGTCACGATGCGCGGGGAGTACAGAAAGAAAAGTATATTCAATTTAAATTAAATTTATCGCGCCAATGACAGTAGTTTTTAGAGGCAAATCGACTTACTTGCGTTGGAACACAAAAGACCGCGAGATCTGTAATTAATTATTTCAAAACGTGCAGTTCGATCTCGAATGCGAAATTGCAAAATCACTTTGAAAATTGAATTGTACTGTTGTGAAGGCATCGATTTTTTTTCACGAGTCATGCCAAGGGATATCGCAACCGTCGCCAACGCACATGTATGATTAAAAAATTGGTCGCACAGTGACTAGCGGACAAAAAATTGTTTAATTGGAAAGATCCGTCAAAATAATACATGTGACTTCGCATGTAATAAAAATATGACATAATTACAGTAAATAGTAATCTTTACCAACCAAATGTAATTATTCTGAGACTGTTCTTGCTTATAAAAAAATGTTTCTAATTCTCACAACTACTACACAAAGAAACGTCTGACAAGCGACGTGAAAGTTATTCATTCAGGTCCTTACACATACGCGAACACGCACATACGCACATACGCATGCACGCATGCACGCACACACACATAAACACACAGATATATGAACACTTAATGGTCAAGCAGCTGATGATATTCGGCGCAAGAAGCGGCACAAGACAGTATAGTCGACGGCTACTGCTGCTGCTTACGCGAGACAATCAGGGCACGTCAGCGGCCAACGAACTCACCGAGCAGTTGCGCATTCTTCTGCACGGGCGACGTTTCGCAAGCTGTAGCACGAACTATATGAGCTTGCGCTTAAATAAGTTAAATGCGGGTAAGCGACGGATTCTTAGGAGGCTCGATGATGTGAATTACGAAAGCTTGGCCGTTTGTGACGAGAGAAATCGTTTGACTACCGACAGCTGGGCAAATATAAGTTTAAATTTTGATCGATAAAATACTGGGCATCGAAATGGAAATGAATTTTAGGAAGAGTAATATTGAGACAAGTTGAATTTTTGTTGCGTTTGAATGGTTATGTTACGTCTAAAAGGATAAAATTTTCATCTACAGTTACGGCCTTTGAATTCACGTGTCGCAAAATGTAGGCATGCTCGGAAGTTGTTTGTAGAAATGCAAAATTAACGCGTAGAAAAATTAAAACAACGTGTGAGCGTTTTCACACTTTGCGAACAGTCTACCGTACTTTCCACGTTAGATGAGCTCATCAGTTATTTCAACCCATACACATTTAACATACTTTTCAAAATCCTACTTAACCATAAAGTGTATACGCACGCGCTATTAAGCGCGTGAAAAGGTTACATTAATCGACAATATTTGCTTTTATAAGTATTCAATTGGTTTCGATGACAAGTACTTTTTAAAAAATATGACACTGAACGATACGTTAGAGTAGACTCTATGGATATACGAGGAATCCTTTTGCAACCGACTTCTATTCGAAATTTTGCAACTTTTGTTTTTTGAGTTTCTTTATGAGTCTGCATTGACACAAATACTTGCGGCAATTGCGTTGTCAAAAAAGTTCGGCGTCAACGAATTTTTTTTTAATGTGATGTGCTGAACATCGCAGCAACAATCAGTTAGTCTGACAATTGCGACCGAATAGTGAACAACTAAGCTTTCAAATCTGACTGCAACCATGTATTACACCGTAAGTAATATAATATTATCACAATTACAAACTGCAAAAGAAAAATGGAATGATAACTTTATTTGAGCTTATAGTGACTCGGAATTTAATTTATTTTTCAATTTATAGCTATTTATCGTATTAGTGGCTTTCAACTGCGATGCACAAATACTTCCCGGTGGTGTGCCGCTTTTTTATGGAGCATTCTTGCAACAACCATTAAACTTACAGGTAATTCTTGGTTCGGATTAACTTTCTTTTAAATAATGATATCTTTTCAATTTTTTTATCGTTTAAACGACATGATTTTACAGCATTCATTGACGGCAGTTCCCCAAACAGTAGATGTGCCATTACCACAAAAAATTTTGTCTAAAGAGATCTCAGTTATGCCATCGCTTACCCATCGTGCACCAATAACGACTTTGAAACTAACGCCAATACCAGGCCAGAGAATAATTCCATTAAATCCAGTTGGAACACACGTAAGTGCACGCAATGAACTCTGAATGTTTAAACTTTTTTTTTAATCGTATCAAATATATTCTTCATTTGTTCACTTAACTAGTTAAAGATTTGTAAATACATTTCTTTTAGATATCTCCTTTGCAGCTGCGATCAACAGGTGCCAAAGAGAATACGGAAAATCCGAAAGCCGCTAGTGCTGAGCCATCAGGTGAATCGAAAATTGGGGCTATACTAGAAGAAATGAAGAGAAAAACGCAAAAACCTGCGTACCATTCGAAAAAAAAATCAGCTGATTCTATCGATCCAGTTGACCAAAATACAGACGAAAACGAAATGCCGAAAGAGGTGATTGGCTCATCAGGTTCATTTTTGGATGCTACCAAGAGTTCAGTAGTACCAAAAACGCGATCACCTGGTTAGTAATTTTTTTATTACATAGTTTATTTTTTAAAAAACTATTTTTTTCAACATTTATTTTAATGCGGTTCAATTTTGCAGACTATGGAGAAGATATCCCGGATTTGGAATATCTATCGAAAGCAGCCAATCCAATTGATGACTTTGAAAATAAATTTGAAAAAACCGCGAAAAAAATTGGTCAGGAAATCAAACATGTGTTCAAAAATTTACCAAAGCTCTTTCAAGGCAAAGCTGCAGAAAAACAAAATGAAGGAGGATCAGCTCCGTACAATAATGTCTGTTATAGTTTTTAAAAATGAATATTTTTATGAGTAATTAATATGTGAAGTTTACTTATGTCTAATTTTTTTATTGTTACAGGATAAGTCTGAATACAGTGAAGCAGTAAATCAAGGACAGCCAGTCTTATCGCCAGGACTTAAAAAGGCGATGGATGACTTCCAAAAAACACTTTCTAAATCTCAATTAATGCAAAGATACTATGGCAATCAAAATTCCAATAGATATTATGATAATCAATACAGTTCTGATGTCCACTCGCATGGAAAAGAAACGGATTCAAAAGGAAAGTTCTGGGATTCCAATCCCAATATTGCTAAGAGTGTTGCTGATTCTTTTATGAAAGGAGGACAGTCAAAAATAGAACAAACTGAAAGTGGAGTAAGTTTTAGTTCGAGGCAAGAAAGCAATCCAACGACTTCAATTTTGAGTTCAGCAAGTAATACAGCAGGCAACATTGCTTATGATACACAAAAATATGGTAACGGTGAATCTAAAGTGCCAAATTATCAAAACGGAGTTCCAGCTCATATCTGGAAAACTGTCTCTGATTATGTTAACAAAAATACCAACAATTTTGCAAATCAAGAGCAACAAAAAAACAATGGTTTACTAGAAACCTTTTATAAATACGGATATGGTCGCGATGGCTATCATGGATATCCAGGCTTCAACGAAAATAGATATAATGAACATCACGGACATTATCACGGCTCAGACTACAGTCACTACCTAGGGTCCAATCAAAATGGATACTATCCAAGTCTAGGTTGCCAATATGGATATAGCTATTATAAAAGAAGTCCAGCCGAACTAAAAAACTCAACTGTATCAATTCCAAACAGTATGGATGATAGTCCATACCAAATAGTGCACACAGGCGCAGTAGCCGATGTCACTAAAAAATCCGATCTAGACAAGAGAGCCATCGTAGAAAAGCCAGAAAATTTAACGTTATTGAGAAATATAAGACAAATGACACAACTCATGCAGCCTGTTCAATCTGGAGATATAACCAACTCTGCTATATTGCTCGCTCAGAGTATTTTAACAAGAAGACCTGATCAAATTGCTAATGCTGGTGTCAACATGAGATACGGGAGAACAGCTGAAAGTGTCAATAGGGGACAAAAATTTTTCAAGAGAAGTAATTTGAAGAATATTAAAGATTCTTCATTGTTGAGAGGCCCAAGGCAATTGTTGCCAATATTATCACTATCAGCATTAATACCACCTTTTCAAACTGGAATCGCTAGTACTGCCCTTAATATTGCTCAAAGATTCGTAGGAGCCAATCCTGAGCGAAATGTGATACAACCAATTTTTGGAAGTTTAGGAACAACAGCTAACAATTTGGCACACGAAGTAGGATTAATACAAAACTATCCAAGTATAATTCAAGGAATACCAGTAAATCAATTAGGACAAATAGTGGGTTCTACAGTCAAACTGGCACAAGGAATTACAGAAATTGCAGAAGCAGCTAATCGTCCTAGTGAACAAGCGCCTCGATATATCAGAAGACATGATTCAACTGAGACAGTAAACGACCCGTCGACAAGAACATTAAGGCAAATACCACTTCTCTTTCAAGAATGGACACAGCCTAGTAGTGCAGTTACTAACTCAGCATTGAATCTAGCGCAAAGTATATTGAATGGAAACCCTGGTGAAATTGCTAATGCTGGTGTTAATATGGGCACTGGAATCGCTACAAAAGAACCTGAATATCCTACTCAAAAATTTTCAACTAACCAATATGGACAAATAACTGGTGCTGCAATGAACTTAGTGCAAGGAATCGTGAACAACAATCCGGACCAAATAGTAAACAGCGAGGTCAATATGGGTAGTGGTATTTCTACATCTCGGTTCTTTAAGAGAAGTGACTCAATCGAACCACAACAGAATACTACGACAACACAGAATACGACGAGAATTTCAAGGCAGATGCCATTTTTATCCCAAAAATGGACCCAGCCTACTAGTACAATTACGAATTCGGCGTTAAATCTAGCGCATAGCATCTTAAGCGGTGAATCCAGTCAGATTGCTAATTCAGGTGTAAACATGGGTACCGACATCGCTGGTACAACAAATGA